CCTTCCCTAACCCCCGACACGCAAGCAGCAGCAGGTATGTGTGTCTTTGTTTTCTCCTGGTATTCATGTTCCTGCCACTGGCTTCCCCTTGGCCTGCTGGGTAGCCGCTCCTTCGCACTCCCAGAATCTTCTCATGCCACTGGCTCACCGAGACAAGCCTCTGCCCCCAAGGGACTCTACTGCTCTGTTTTGGGTGATTCCGGCATCCCTCTGGGGGGCACAGACCCGAAAGCCTTTGGATGGGGATGGGTTCAGACCTTGCCCCGTATGATTCACTCCTTCATTGCCCTACTCCCAATGGTGTTCCCTTCCCTGGTAGGAGCTGCCCAAGCCCATGCCAGTGGTTTCCTCCTCAGGCTATTTTTCTTTCACCAGTGTCCTGCCCTACGAGTCTCTTTGCCTCCCTCTTTCTCCTATGGATAGACTAAGACTCCTGTCGGGGTTGTCTCTGCATCAATTCGTGACTCACCGAATTTTGACTGAATCCCTGTGTGCCCTGAATGGAGTCTGCTTCCACCTACTCAGGTTGTAGATTACAGTCTTGAGAGTTTACACAGCCCTCTCTTGCTTATGTGACATCTGCCTCTGTCCCCTGACTCCAGGGAATTTCGGACACCATTCCCAGTAATTCTGTGCTTCCTGCTCTCTGCTCCTCCGAATTCAGTTCCTATCCCTCCGCACACTCAGCTACACCAACCTTTTGTGGTCAGTCATCGTAGGCCCCTAGATTGCCCATTTGTCTTAATTCTCAGTCAGTTTAACCACGTGATTTACTGTGGTCAGTGGGTTATTATGGTACATGACACAAGTAATGGCTGAAATCAGCTTGTGCATGGGGACTTGTTCTTCTGGATTCCTTCCCTTGACATGAGAAAGACAAGCCCAGAATAAAGTGCTGGCTCTTGGTGGAGGATGACAGACACTCGGAGTCAAGCTCATTTGCCCCAGGGGTCTTCCATGAAGACTGTGTAGAACAGCCAATGTGCAGCTGAACTGCAGCTGGTTGAGTAAGTCAAAACAAGATCTACCTGAGTCCAAGTGATCGCAGTCAACTCCGAGCCTCATGACATCTAAACTAATAAGGAATATATTTTTTATTGTATTATCACATTTTAACACAATGATGGCTAACTGGTATCAGCTAATCTCTATTTTCTCTTGATTGAAGTGATTTTCTGTGTAGACACTCTTTCTCAGCTCACTGTATTTTGCTTTTGCTTGCTCCACTCCCAATGGTTCGCAGTGTCTCAGCTCTGCTTTGCGTTGTTGCTGTCTACATGTTTCTTAATTTTCTTAAGAGTGTGATATTTCCCCTCACTCTGTTTCTGTGTATCTGACTGTGTAGATGCTTTCTCATACTTTCTTTTTCTGACTTCTTGAACTTCTTCCCTTATGGATTTTCATCAATCATGTAAAAGCTTTGTATATTTTGGTTTTTGTCATTCATTTTATCATAATTTCTTACACAATATTCTGTGCTAACATGTTTGGTGTATTAATCGCAGTGAATGTAAAAGATGTAAATGAATTATCATAAACTTGACAACATTGAATAGAAATGACAAAATCTTTTAAGTAATGCTCAAGAAAGTGTGAATTCTTCATATCTAACAAAGCATGATCTCTAAATAAAGATTCGATAAAATTAAATATCAATTACAAAATCCCAGATAAATTAATGTTTTGAAATATAATTACATAGTTCAAAATTTCTCCTATGTAGAGAAGATAAAGCCACACTAAAAATTTGAAAATATCTTCAGCTGAACAATAAAAATAAATTCTGAATACAAACATTATACAACTCTTGTGATCATGTCCTTGATATTGATTAGAGGATAGACAAAAGTGGGGGAAAAAACTAATGCCAGAAACAGATTTAAATCTGAATGTAATTGTGTACGATGGGAAAGGTGTATGGCACTACCTCAGTTTTTCCCATTTAAAATACCTAAAAATGTAGAACTTTTAGCTCATATCATGTGTACTAATCAAAGGAAAAAAAAGGCAAGATTATGAAAAGCAGAACAATACATTTTCAGGAGAAACACAAAGGAACATATTTATGATATTTGTAATTTTAAGATAATTCTCATTATTGTGTTTTTTCAGAAAGCACCAGTAAGTAGAATAAATGTGCAATTTTCATAACTCATAAAGAAAATAACATTGTAAAGAAAAGTAAGTAGATGAAATGAACACAAAATTCATGAAAAACCAGAATTTTGACAAACTATTGAAATGCATTACATGTACAAGTAAAATAGACATGTACATAATAGCAGTATGAAGATTTCACATGAATTACAATAGATAAAGTGAAATGTTCTGTCTATGGCAAATTGTAGGGAAACCAAATAAATTCCTGCAATTAAGAATACAAAGTTCCGGTCCAGCATAGTAGCCTAGCGGCTAAAGTCCTCCCCTTGCATGTGCCAGGATTCCTTGTGCCTTGGCAGCCCTGCTTCCCATCCAGCTCCCTGCTTGTGGCCTAGGAAATCAGTTGAGGACAGACCAAATCCTTGGGACCCTGCAACCACATGGGAGACGCAGAAAAGGCTCCAGGCTCCTGGCTTCAGATTGGCTCAGTTCTAACCGTTGCAGTCACTTGGGGAGTGAACCAACTAACAGATCTTCCTCTCTGTCTCTCCTCTCTGTTATATCTGACTTTCCAATAAAAATGAAATAAATCCTAAAAAGTACAAATTTTTCATTTCTCTTAGGATTTCAGTTTGAAAATATGTTATTAATAGATACATACAATAAATTTCAGGGCTGTCACTAATCGTGTTGGTCTAAGGCAGAGTTCAGACTACTATGGGACACCAGTCAAATCCTGTTAGTGGTTTAATTTTGTAAGTAAAGCTTTCCTAGAACAAAGATATGCTCAGCCATTAATAAATTGCTTCTTTTGCACTACAGTAGAGGAATTCTTACAGCTTTATACTAAAAGTATGAATGAGAATGTTCATGGAAACCTCACTTGCAAGAGTGACAAAATTAGAAGTAGAGTCCCGAGGAACACGGGAACTGTATGGCTGGGCTGTGCAAGTCTTTCGCAGTAGGCAGAAGCTCAAATAAAAGCTCTATCCCAATGTTATGGAATTGGAGTTGAAATTGTAGATGTGCTTAGATGTGCTGTTAAACACATGAAGTTCGCCTGGAAAAGTAAGTGTCCAACGTACACTTGCTAAGGTGGAACTCGAGGCGCCACAATTGCAAACACTCAGATACACTGATGAAAGCGCTTAGACTCATCTCCCTACCTGTGTTTTTTTTTTTAAGTTCCAACTACATGAAAATTAAAAACTTAAAAAAATGACCAGATCACAGAGAACAAGGGTGAATTAGGTTATTAAATTTTCCACTAAGAGTAAAAGCAGAGCCTACAGCAACTCTCTTCTCCTTTTTTAGACCGTTTTTGGTAGCTAATATTTATCATTTTCATACATTCAATGCTATAAAGATTATTAAAAATCATTTATTTAATTAAGACTTATGCAAATATTTGATATTTTTTATAAATACATGACCCTTTTACTATGTACGTAATTTCAGCTTAGTGAAGTTACTAAATTATCATGGCATTTATTTTGAAACAGGTGATGTCTGATTTTATGTTTAGTGAAAGTTGTTGAATTTCCAACCCCAACTGTGTAATTGGGCAGTTTAATTATTTAATTATTTATAATGTAACTGCTTATAAAACATGTTGACACTGATTTTAACAAATAATAAATTGTCACTTGGGGAAAAATTCACTGGATAGATTATCTCTTTCTTCCTCTCCTGCTTTCTCTCTGTCTCTGCAACTTTGCCCTTCAATAAAAAGAAAAAACAAATGTTTTTAAAATTTAGACAGTGATAATAGAATACACTAGCTATTCTTTCTGAATGTTTTAGAGTATATTTTGACATGAGGGAATTTATTTGTAAATATAACTTGTTAATATGAACTTGCTATAGCATTTTTCTTATAAATAATTTCATCAATAAACATCACTGAAATCGTTACTCCCTGACACATTCTTGCTAACAATGATATTTCATCATATCTTTTAGGATTAAAAAAGAAACATAGTCTATGGTGTCTTTGGCATCAGGAGGTGATGAGTCATATGGATCCAACTGTGTGCTTACAAGTTTTCTGTTTTGTCCTTTCTGTTTTATTATTTATTTGGTCTTGCAACTGGAAAGCTTGCCTGCTTATTTTTTCTTGAGCTAACTTGCTTAAAAGATCCCATTCAGATTTCAACCCAAGCCTAATTTCCAAGCAGTGTTAAGGCAGAAGAAACTGGAGAGTAATTTGAGACCTGTACAAAACCATACACATTTACTCTTTTTGCAACAATGTGGTTATGTTCTCCAGACCTGACTCTTGTGTGTGCCAGACAGTAGGGGTTCGGCTCAGCCTGCCACGCATATCAGCCTACACATACACTAGTGGTTGTAATTGTTTGGGCAGTTCTGTCTCTATCCCCAACTTTTACATAAACCACTGGATGCTGCAGCCAAACCTAACCATGCCTGCCACAGATTTGGTGCTCATATACACCAGTGGGAACTGCTGCCCATTCAGACTGATCGCCAATAACCCCCACTAGGCCCACCACCAGCCATGGTCCCTGTGCTTGCTGGTATGTGCAGCAGACTGGTCCAGTCTCTTCTGCATCCCATTGGGCTTTTGTACACACCAATGAGTGCTGCAGGCTAGTTCAGCCCAACCACTACCATTATCCAGCTCACATTTATGCTGGTAGCTATTGCAGCCTGCCCAGCCAGGTCCACTCCAAGCCCCGATGGGAGCTGCAGCCCATCAGAGGGGTGTCTGCATTTTCCCTACTAGGTCCATTCCCAACCGCGATCTAGCACTTTCCAGGTGGTTCTGAGGTCTAACTTGACTCACTAATCTATTTAAAGATGATTTTTTTTTATGTTTTAAAGTGTTCTTTTATACCTTAAATGTATATTTTCAAATAATGCTATTTTTTCTATTCTAGGAATATACAATCGATGTTTTTTTCCGACAAAAATGGAAAGATGAGCGTTTAAAATTTAAAGGTCCTATGAATATCCTTCGACTTAATAATTTAATGGCTAGCAAAATCTGGACGCCAGATACCTTCTTTCATAATGGGAAAAAATCTGTAGCTCATAATATGACAATGCCAAATAAGCTACTTCGAATTCAGGATGATGGAACGCTACTGTATACAATGAGGTATGTTTTTAAATTTGTCCTGTCACATTTAAATACTTACAAATGCACCGATTAAACAACTAGAGAATAAAATTGACAAGTATTTGCATGGCACAAGATGAACAGCTCCCTAGCATATTAAATACTCTTTCATGCTTTATAAAAGCTTGGATATTGAAAACACAAAGGTAAAATAGTATTTATGAATTTAATTTTCATCATAGTGTGTTAAAACAAAAGAAGTATTTTTGCTATTTATTAATGTCAACAATCTTTAAGTGTATTTCTAATGCCACAGTTCATATTTGTTTATAAAAGTGTAATTTTTTTTGCTCACAGTTCTTTAGATATCCCAGCAACATTTTACCTGATTTATGAAAAGACTTAATTATTTATTGAAAAGGGAGTAAAAGTGTGTGTGTGTGTGTGTGTGAAAGAGAGAGAGAAAGAGAGACAGACAGATGTTCCATCAGGTAGTTTGCCCTCCAATGGCTACAACAGTCAAAGCCAGGCCAGGGTGAACCAGGATTTAACAATTCTAACTGATCTACTACGTGAGTAGCAGATAACCCGTGTACTTTGGCTGTTTTCTGCTGCCTTTCCAGGCAAATTATCAGGAAGTTGCATTGGAAACAAAGTAGCCAGAATTGATACCAGGTCTTCAATGATGGTGGCCTAACCTGTTGTGTTACAGTTTTGGTCGCTTAACTGGTATTTCAGCAGAGTTTTATTTAATTTAATGTTTTGATTCTCTTAGGAAGCTATTCTAGAGAGTATATTTCCTTTAATTAACTTTTTCATTTAATCAGTATTTAAATTAGTAAGTTACATTGCATAAGCATATATTATATTGTACCATATGAAATTACGCTTTCATAGATTGTCAATATCAAATTTGATGCAATTGGGATAATTTGATGAAATTATCTAGGAAATAAAGAGTTGATGATTCTACCAACATTTTCATAAGTCTTGTGCATTAATATTTTATAGTAATCATAAAATGTGAAAAAAATGTTATTTATATCAAGTAATAAAACAAACCACCAGATTATAATACATAAAGTAAATAAATGGCTTAGTAAAATATTTAAAACATAGATAACTCATAAATACTACATGTAAGTGGATGTTTTTCTATACGTTCGATGTGTTGTAATATATAAGAAGCTAAATGCTGGAGTTTAGTCATAAGAGTTATTTAGGAAGGGATAATAATATAGGTTTAGACTGTGTCTAGTCTTTGAAGAATAACCCGTGAAGACTCACTTGTAAGTGGACATCACCTAAAGTTGAAGTGTTGGTTCTATTCTCTGCCTGAAAGTCTGTTTCTGTCAAAATATTCATGCATAGTATGTTTGTTAAACTTTTCACTTTGAGTATTCCCTTGTGGTAAATCAATGATTGAAAAATTTTTGATTCAGCCAAAATATAGACATATAATAAATGTATTATACATATATAATACCATATGTAATGTATATGGTATTCATTTAACTGTTTGCTTAATTTTAAAGGGAGCTCCTTTTGGTCAGTACTGAATTTTGATATCAGCATTGTTATATCTATGGTTGCTGAGGAGGTAATGGAGAAGAAAATGACTATTTTTTTTTGCCATGATAGTTATTTTTTTTTTTTACACAATTCTTGTTCAAATACTAATGAGTTTACTGAGGAAACAATATACTTATATATAAACAAGCATGTGTGCATTGCTTTTAAACTACTGGTGTAAAATGGTAACTAAAATACATTTTAATACCTATTATTTTGTATGTAAATATCTTTTTGAGGGGGAACACCTAAATGTTAAAACAGATTTGAACATGAATTGCCTTAAATGAAGCTTAAAGAATTTCCTAGGTCATTGATTTGGATTGACAACAGTAATGAGTTATTTTTCATTACTTGCCAGTTTGCTTAAACAAAGAGTGAAATTTTGACTTTTAGGCTTACAGTGCAAGCCGAATGTCCAATGCACTTGGAGGATTTTCCAATGGATGCTCATTCATGTCCTCTGAAATTTGGCAGCTGTAAGTACAGGGATAAACCTTCCTGATCAATTTTGTCATTCCTTTGCACTTACTGGGATGCTTGACACTTGCCCAAAAAAGTACATGAGTAAAAACATGTTGAATGTCTTCAGGGGAGTAATTGCTGAAACCTCAACACGTTCTAATACTCATTGCATTTAAATTACTGCTCATTTGACTGCTAAAAAGGAATGTGTGTTTAATAAATTGGTAACACTAGACCAAGAATTCCTTAAAGGTGAAGCCTGAAATTTACCTTCTTTTTCTTGTGTTATAATGTTAAAAATGCAAAATAGATCTTTTTCATCAACAAAGAGTGAATTGTAAAGGCTTGTTTCTGTTGCTTATTGAAGTAGCCATCGGCCTGTTGCCAGTGGCAGGCACGGAAGCTAAATCTGTGCATTTGCCTCTGCCGTGTAACTCATGGCAGGGATATTTTTTGTTCCTAAGTTAAATTTGGAGATGATGTAGCTGGGTTGCAATGTGCAGACAGCTTCCTTGTGCATCGAATGGCCTTTGGCCATTCTTTAGGTCACAGAGGCTCTGTCTTGTATGTCAAGCAGAAACATTCACACTCCTAGAATAATCGGAAAGGGGAAAGGTCAAATCATCTCCCAAGGTCCTCACGTGGCACTCCCGATGGACTCAGAATATATTCATGAATATTGTTAAGCAGCTGCTCTCTGTGTGAGCCTGTACCATCCCTGACCTTTTTAGAAACTGTGCTGCTTCTGGAACCCATCTCTAACCATTCTGGGAAGCTTGTGGCTTTTTATTTTCTATTGAGCATAGATACAGTGCTCTTGCCTTATTAAAAATATGTATGACTGAGCAGTGTATCTTCTCTGAAACTGTATCAACTGATTAACAACAACAACAAAAAGGTTATTGGCTATTGTGAGTACGAGACTCACTAATCATTGAGATGACCATAGTTTAATGGAAGGAGTTTGGTTTTTGCTTGTTCTGAAAAATCACACAAAGGTGGTAGTCCTGAACTCTTTTGAGAATTTCCTTTTGTTTAGCCACAAAGGCTTTTTTTTTCTGTCATGGAAACCATCATTTCTCTACTGACATCTTCCTCCAACACTATTTCAGTCGACGATATTATACAATGTAAGCATGATACTGAACAAACCACAGCAGGTGCATCAGAGGAACACACATTAGCATTGCGTAAGTGACATTAAAATAAAAAATGGAAAGCTTGGTATGAAAGAAAGACTGATGTAAGACAAAATGATGTAATGAAACGAGCATTTTTCAGTGAGAAAAGTGTTGTTATTATGAGATCGAACCTAGCTGACTTGACAGCTACATTATGAAAAAGAAATAAATGCGTTTTAAATGAAATGTAAAGATATGATCTAATGAATCTACAGAGTAGTAGATTTCATGTTTCAAAATATGGCTTATAAAATGCAGAAGTGTTATAGGCACAACATAGTTTTTGTTACTTGTTCTCTATTTGAGGAATTGCGGTTTATTTTGTTTTCTTTATGCTTACATTCTGATGAAAAATCGATGCATAAATATAAAAGTGTAGATAAGAAAGTCAAGCCTGGAATTGTTGATAAACAAAGTTTTCCAAAGGTAGTAGTGACACTTTTCTTCTAGTCATTTATTTTCATTTTTCATAAAAATTACTCCACTCATCAAAGTGATTGATTTTCTGAAAGTTTATCACTATTCTCAAAGGAAGACCCTTTTATGTGTTTGTAATTTAAATTCAGTCTTTTTATAAAAACTTATTATCCATATATATATATTTTTTTTGCTTCAATTGCTTTCAAACTGCTCAAATGGAATCCCAGAGATAGTTTACGCTTTATCCCCCAAAGAAATTGTAAAATGCCTTTTGAGGTAAAAAGTACTGGCTCCAAATATTTGGAATTTTTTTTTCCTATTGTATGCTGAGAGTTAGCAAGTAGGTATCTGTAAAATGCAGCACAAACCTCAAATACATCTTGCTTAATTAGATTAAATAAAAGGGGTTGATGTCAGCCCAATTCCAACAAATAATTTAGAGTGATGTAAAACCAACAGCCTCTATTTACTTTATCCTGTATTAAAGATCATTTGAATGCTTTCTGGTTTATGGATGTTGGTGTACCGGAGAGAGAGCCTCCAAGTTGCATTGTCTGAATTTGCTACATGTTTCATTTTATCAGACCCAAGATCTAAAAAAAAAAAAAAACCCACTCATGTCTAATGAAATACATCATTTTTTCAATTAAAAGTCATGTGAAACTTGGTTACTTTATGTGATTCTTGGACTCTTCTCCAAGTTTCTATCTTTCATGAAATAATATAAATAAAACTTGAATTTATTCATGAAACTAGCAAGAACAAAGAGAGAGCTTTTGCTCTAAGTGAGGCCCTGTATTTGCAGCTACACATGCAGATACGAGTCATACATAATCCTTGTCTATCAGCGTCTCACTAATCTCTTTAAAATCTTATAAGCTTTATAGGGACTCATTTATAACATAATTTAAAATGGTATAATTACATTAGCTTGAAACAACTTCATAAATTAGTACTTCTCACAACTGAGAGTAATGAGATGTTCCCAATACAAACGGGGCACAAATGACTTTTTAAAAATATGTTGAATGGCGTATCATTGAAAAGCTCATTAAAGCTAGAGTTATAATTTGTTTACATGGGAAACAAAATAAGCCACACAATTTACAAGTTGCTAATTAACCACAATAATGCTACTGGTGTCATTGTTACTCTCAGTAGATTAGTGATTAATTAATTAAAATTAATTAACAAGAAATTAGAGCCTTAGAATAACTAGAAATGGTCAACTTCTAAACATTGAATAGATATGCTCTGTTATTTAAAGTATACACATATGAATACATATGAATATGTAATTACGTTTACTTTTAGAGTGTTAAAAAAAATCTTTTCACATTATTTACTTGTACATGTTCTTGAGTACAAGCACGGTGAAAACAGTACTTCCTTGATAAGGAACATTTAGTAGTAACATCCATAAAACCAGGGGACATTATAGTATGTCCTTGAAACACCACACAGCAGTAAGTCATGAATTCACAGATTGCCACTTTACTGCATCCAGAACTGTGGGATGAAGGTGGAAAATCTGCCCGTGAGAGGAGATAAGATTTCCAGTGTCTTAGAGAGTAATAGACAGTTCTTACTGGTCTTGTAGAAACGTATGGTGCTGAGGTTTCTACAAGACCAATAAGAACTGTTATTTCTAAACATTTACATGAACAAAAGCATGTACATGTCGCTTAAAATTTTAAACTAGGGAACTAAGTGGAGAGGCCATTGCTCCCCAGCAGCACAAACATGGACAGGGAAACGTATGCAGTACCACAGAAAAAGGTCAACCCCATGTACATAATTTGTGTTCCATTGTATTGTGATTTGACTTTTGTTAAATTCTTTGAACATGTCCAAATAAATAAGGAACTCATAAGTGATCTGTATGTTCAGTCCTTTCCCATCAATCTATCACTTAATTGAGATGGCTAGTGATGTTTGTGTGCATGAATTTTAAAATAAACTCAGATTAAAAAGAGTGTTCAAGTTGGTGGAAACAAAGCTTGCTTGCTTTTATTTATTTATTATTATTATTATTATTTTTGCTGCATGTTGTGTAGCAAGTAGTTATCTTTCCTCTAATAACATCAGAACAATATTTTGTTAGAACTATAGCTTTTTTGTATCAGCTATGCTACATTTATGTCCAGAAGATCATATAATTTTGGATCGTGATTTTGATTTCATGAAGCAGTTGACATTTACACTTTGGGCAATAGTAACCTGTTTATTACCTTGCCTTCATTTGTTCCCCTGGGGCTCAAGGCAATGTTATAGCCATCCCAGTTCCCAGTGGTTTTTGTAGGATCTACAAATACATTCACTCTACCTCTCAAAACAATTGCAATTATCATATACTCTTCTTCTTATTTGTCTCCGTTAGGTTGCTTCCCATTTCATGTAGAAACTGCATATTCCAAGGACACAAATTTGCCCTAAAACATGATACACATTATGTTTTTCAGGAAGCAGTGAGTCTGAAATGAATAACTTTTGATATTGTGCTTTATTGATGGTCATACTAAAATGCTTTAAAAATGCTTTTTTTTTCTGATTTTCCACAGATGCATATACAACCTCAGAGGTCACTTATATTTGGACATATAATGCATCTGATTCAGTACAGGTTGCTCCTGATGGCTCCAGGTTAAATCAATATGATCTTCTGGGTCAGTCGATTGGAAAGGAGACAATTAAATCCAGTACAGGTTAGTAAAGTGAATCTAAAGAAAAGCTAGTGCTAAGAAAGTAGATCCAGTCGTTGGAAAGGTGTCAGATTACTTTAAAGCATCTGTTCTGGAGGTCCATGAACTAGAAGCACAGATTTCCTTGGAGCTTTAAGCCATTAAGAACATTAGGTTTCACTGTGAACCATATTCCCTATTTTGAAAGAGTGTGTCATCTCAGACCAGTCAATTTTTTTTAAAGATTTCTTTATTTTTATTGGAAATTCAGATATAGAGATGAGAGACAGAGAGGAAGATCTTCTGTCCAATGATCCTCTCCCCAAGTGACTGCAAAGGCTGGAGCTAAGCTCATCCAAAGCCAGGAGCCCAGAACCTCCTCTGAGTCTCCCACATGGTTGCAGGGTCCCAAGGCTTTGGGCCATCCTTGACTGCTTTCCCAGGCCACAGGCAGGGAGCTGGATGGGAAGCGGGGCTGCTGGTATTGGAACAGACACCTCTATGGGACTTTAGCCGCTAGGCTGCCGAGCTGGGCCCAGACCAGTCAATTTTAGCATTCATTTTCAAGTAAGTGATGACAATTTCTGTACTTTTCTTATGTTTTCCTCTTTGTTTGGGAAAGTTTATAACTATTCAACTCTTGACTTTTGATAACACTCTTAGCTTGTTAGATTATTTATTGAAGGGCCATACTGATGTATGAACAAAGTAGCTGTGTGGATGAGTTTTCTTTTATCTGGCCACAGTTAGAATCCAGGGAACACAAAGAAGGTGTTCATTTCCAAGGATCAGATAGAATTAACTGAAAAAGTAGAGCAGAAATACAAAATCAGAAAATTCAGATCTAGTGGTTAAAGTGGGAAATTCGGACCAGAAGACCAGCCAGGGAAATACACCCAGAGAACAACCATTGAAAATACAAAAAGCATCATAGGTCAGTCCAAGACGAAGCTTGAATTTAGGATCAGTGGTTACCAGGACCTGCTCATGTAAGATAGTCCATTTGCAAAGACCATTTATGAATTCTGAATTCTTTGGGTGAATTAGCATCTCCCTAAAGAGTTAAATACCAACTCACAGGATATGCAGCACACACTTTTTGATACTATGAAAATGATCTTTCTTACTCTTACTAACTGTGCATTTGGACATGATAGTTTCTGTGGCATAAATGGAACACATGTGGGGTATGTGTGTTTCAGGATTATTCTTTCTTTATTTCCTTCTATTTCCAAAATGTTTAAACAATTGGATTTAAAAGTTTTTAAACTTCCTAACTTTTTTTTATTCCAGGTGAATATACGGTAATGACAGCTCATTTCCACTTGAAAAGAAAAATTGGGTATTTTGTGATTCAGACATACCTGCCTTGCATTATGACTGTCATTCTATCGCAAGTATCATTCTGGCTTAACAGAGAATCGGTGCCTGCAAGAACTGTGTTCGGTGAGTGAACACGCACTTTATAATGCAGCACATTATGTTTCACGGCACACTTTCAAAAGCACTCTCTCCTTTGATTCTTGACCCAAGAGCCTATGGAACACAGGCAGACCATATTGATTTTACTTTCTAGATGCGGTAGCTGGGCCCAGGGAAGTAAAATAGAGTTGAGACCACACAATTCATAAAAGCTCAGATATTCAAGATACACATTTAGTACCTTTTCGTGCTAATTCATGTTGCATCTTGATATTTATTTCGATGTTATGTTAGTCAAAGTAGAATTTTTTGGAGATACTGGTTTAGAATATAACTATGCCATATGTGTACGTTTTCTGTGTTTTTAAATTAAGGAACATGATTTTAGTAATATAAGTTGGAGAAAGCAAAAGTAAAAGAGAAAGATGTCATTCACTTCCATTAATGTGTCTGATTTCCTTGATGGAAACTAGGCCAAGGAATTGTTTTAGATGCAGACTGTCAGTCCTACGCGTTCTATGTCTATTGCAATATTGTTTTAAATGAAGAAAGATGTTTTAATACTGATGTTTTATTGATCGATTGATTTGTCTTTATCTGAGAGAGAACAGTAGACAACATTTTCTTCTGCAGATTCACTGCTCCAAAAGCCCACAGTGGCTGGTAGTGGGCCAAACTGCAATCTGTAGACAGGAACTTAGTTCAGGTCTTCCAAAAGCTAGCAGGATCCCAACTGTTCCAGCTGTCATCTGCTGCCTTCGAGGGTGGACAGTGGCAGGAAGCTGAAATCACCAGAATAGACAATTTTGAATTGTAACATTCTGATATGGCATATGAGCATCCCAGTGTCTTAACTACTAGGTCAATTGCCTGCAGTGATTTTTACAGTTTAAACAAGAAAAAGTAAGGGAAAGAAAAAAGCAGAGAGAGAGAGAGAGAGAGACAGAGAGAGATTGATTCATTCCATTAGTGTTTTTACTTACCAAGTACATCTTAACTTAAATCATGCAGGGGCGTTTGGATGCTGTTTTTTGAATGTATGAATTAAGCTGAACTAGTAGATGATCTTTGTGTATTTGGTCCACTCATTCCTTTAGGAAAGTATTACTGAGAACTCACTCTGACAGATACAAAATCAAGGCCTAGAGATGGAAACACAAAGAAAAACCTGCCCCCATGTTCAAGCAGCTTAACATGGCGGATTAAACATAATGTCCCGAATGGATAATGATAATAAAAGGTTGAAGCATTGTAAAAAGACAAGTATCACACTTGGTTAATCTTCCCCACTGCATGCACCAGGATTCAATACAGGTGCTCTTTCATACCCTGGCTGCTTCCCTTCTATCCAGCTCCTTACTCCGACTCAGGAAAGCAATGGAGGATGCTCCAAAGCCTTGGACACCTGCATTCATATGGATTCACAGGGAGTGCTTGACTCCTGGCTTCAGATTGGCTCAGAGCTGGCCATTGCAGCCATTTGGGGAATGAATCAGCATATGGAAGATCTTTCTGTCTCTCCCCTCTGTAAATATCCCTTTCTTACAAAAATAAATAAATCTTTGAAAAATTAAAATCTCTTTTGAAAAACTTTTGATCCAGATACATGCACCTAAACATATTCACAGTCCTCAGGAATATTTGTTAATTGGTGCATATACCCTGGGTGGCCGAAATGGCATTTCCACTCCCTATGTATAAGAAAATTATTATCAGTTATAGCTTATAGTTTACTAGCAAGCAAAAATTATAAACTGTAATTTCTTGGAAGTAATCAATAATTTCCTCAAAGTGATTAGAGCTGAGAACCTGCAGTCCATATATTTCCTGTACAGTAACCATAAAAAGTTGAATAAGTTAAAGAAAATTGGAAGAGGATTTCCCTTTCTATAGCAGAAGAACTGAAAATTGTAATAAAATAATCCAAATGTTGAACTTTATGGTAAAAATGCGTTTGCATGCAAATTCAATTACATATATAGAGGCATACCTTTGATTTATAATATATTAACAGGACTGTTCTTCAATTATGAAAAAGGAAAGAAGACAGGTAAGAAATAATTTAACATCAGATTTTGAAATAAAGCTACAATATTCAAACTTCTAATATGATTGTGAGAATAGTAGATAAGTAGCAAGTAATTTTAGATTAGGGGGTATATAAGAGATATTGTAGTTGGTAGATTAATTCACTAATATACAGATGTACATATTAATGAGAAGTAGGTAAGTAAACAGTACATTAATTAATTAATTCAACAGGAGTTAGGTTAACACAAACAATATGTGGACAAAAATTGCACACCACATGGTTAGCCAGAGGAAATCAGAGTGCTACGCTGAATTGAATGATGAATGTATATTGGCAAAACAATAAAGAAAAGGTTATCTTTTGAAAATTAAGTAGTCAACTTCACAGGTCTAGAGGGAAAACAGCCCACAGAGGTGCAGTGCTTCTGATATTCACCGTTACGCCTGGTGTTTTCTAACGTCATCTTCAGGCTGGATAATTCCCTGCAAGGACTCAGAGAACTCGGTCCAAAGCTGCTATGCTCTGGCTCTGGGTTACTCCGGAGAGAGAATGTTAAACAGAGTCACGAAAACTCACCTGTCTCTGTTTCCTCAGAATCTGCAGTGTGTTCTATGGTTTGGGCACATGAGCCTGGACCTGGCTTCCAGTTCTATAAAAGAGTTGACCACTCAAAACTCACATTATTTCTCAATGTATGACTAGAACCCCATGTTCAAAAGAGAGAGAGAGAGAGCAAGAGAGAGAGAGAGAAACAAATTGAGGGCAGAGTGGTATCTGTCTTTGGAAAAGAGGATAAGATCAGATTTGTTTACTGAACATTCAATGCCAGGACAGAGCAAATATTAAACAGGTAGTAACTAGATTATTTTGTCTTACCTCTATTGATATTTTGTCTGCCCTTCTACCTCTCTCACCCTAGTTTTATTGTCCCTCTATCCTGTATCTGTCATTATCAGTATATAGATCATTCCATTCACCATGTCAACATGTTATTTCAACATATGTGTCAGTATTTTCTGTAATTAGATTATTTAGTTAGTATTTACTTTTTGTTTTGCCTATATGATTTCAAATTTGGATATTTCCTGGGACCAAGCATACTGTCAAATGTGCTGTAAATTAAAGTGGTGTGTACATGTGTGTGTGTTTCTGTCTTGAATTCAATTTTTTTTTAGTCCACATCTGATCTGACCCTCTAGTTGTACAATGTTTCAACTCCTTTTCATATTTGTATAAAAGAGTATTTTGACTTTGGTTATTGCATTTCATAGAAATACTTGATACATGAAGGATGACGGTAGCTAGCTGACTAGCCGAGCCATGGTGATTGATATTGATTGCACATGCACACATAGGCATGCCCTTATAGATACCCAAATTCATATCTAGATTGCTTTAAAAAAGCTTTTGAAGGGCCCAGCGGCATGGCCTAGAGGCTAAAGTCCTCGCCTTGCATGCCCGGGATCCCATATGGGTGCTGGTTCTAGTTCCAGCAGCCCCATTTCCCATCCAGCTCCCTGCTTGTGGCCCAGGAAAGCAGTCGAGGACAGCCCAAAGCTTTGGGACGCTGCACCTGTGTGGGAGACCCGGAAGAAGTTCCTGGCTCCTGGCTTCGGATCTGCATAGCATCAGCTGTTGCACTCACCTCACTTGGGGAGTGAATCATCGGACGGAAGATCTTCCCCTCTGTCTCTTCTCCTCTCTGTATATCTGACTTTCCAATAAATAAAAAAAATCTTTTAAAAAAAAAGCGTTTGAAAAACCAAAAGAGTTTGTTAAACAGACATCATGGCCACATATGATCTTCCTTGACAGGAACTGAAGATTCTCCCTTCTATCTGTAAATATTTGCGAGCCCTGCTTTATCCTAGCTCTTACCTCTTGCTGTTTTTTCCCTTACCTTTGCAGTTCTCCTGCCTTGTTCTGTGGACATTAGAATTTGCATACAGATCAAGGCATACAGAAATAGAACAGGGCAGCCTGCAAACATTGTGTCAGAAAACAAAAGTGAGGTGAAAGGAAGTCCTGTGAGAGCGGCTGAAGTTAGACTGAAGAGTTAGAGCAGCCTTAGGAAAGGACATAGTCTTAATTGGAAACTGCGAGAAGGTCGCGGAAGGCATACAGTGCCTGTTTGGTAACAAACAGGATTGGAAACTAATGAACAGGAATTGCGAATAGGACAGAAACAATCTCTGCAGAATTCATTTCTGCTCTCTGTCTTACACAAAGTATGGGCTTTGGACTGGTATCAGGAGTCACAACTGGCATCTGAGAATTGACTTTGGCATAAGGCAGCACATGCTAATCAGATACAAGCTGCCAGCCCACCAGCCGCCCTCTTCCATCCGCTGTCAGAGTCGCATCCCAGGCAGTCTACTGCCAATTAGGAAAGTGACTGGAGCAAAATGCTTTAATAAGCAATGGCAGGGAACATGAGAGAGCCAAGCTAGTTCTGGTTTAGAGGTAGTCTGAGAAGTGGTTTCTGGAACACAGGTAGCCTGGTTAGGGTTGATTGAAATGAATGGCTTACTAGCTGCTTACATTTATAACATAAAGAAGGAATTAAGTAAGTATGCTGCTGGGCTCTTGTTGAATATTTTTATCAAATTTGACTTTCACAAACACACCGGAATAGTACTTTTTCCTGCCATGACAATTTAGTCATGAGAGCACATAACTCCCATTTCCTACATTTTAGGTAACCATCATGATGAGACAAAAATAAAAACAGGAATACTCTTTAGGCACCTTCTAATTCCCAGGTTTGCTATAGGAAAAAGCAAAAAATATCCTCGTTTAAGTAGACATTATGTCCCAATTTCCAACACGACCATTGAGACCAGGACTATTAAAAGGCTATGCCAACATTAAATATCAGGTTAATACTAGAAAAATAATTTGACCTTTGTGTTCCCTAACTCAAAGGCTTTCATTGTTTCTACTGTAGCGTTCTCCAGAAAGGCTCTAATTTCAGTGTTCTGTTTAGAGTCTG